CGGGGCTGGGCCGGGGTCGCAGAGACGCTCCCGAGGCCACTGCAGGCTCTGTGCGCCTTTGAGCCGGAATCCGAGGTGCCCAGAAGCCAAACGGCTTGCACTTCTCGAGGATGGACACAGCGCTGTAACCCAGTCAAGGCTGCTTTCCACAGATTCTCGTCCCTGCCCCGAAGCAAGTTTACTAAAGCTCCAGGAGGGCTGAGGTCCTGAAAGAAGTGTCAGAGGGCAAACGCATTGCATTCTCCTATTTAGTCTCTCAGCCCGAGCTGGAAAGCATTGGGGACCACACCTGGTCAGCCGAAGGGCAACCTGATAACCGCCGAGGGAATGAGGCTACAAAGAAGCCACAGTAGAGCTGCCAGGAGCCCGATTTGACGTCCCCTCTCCACCTCTGACACTTCTGGACCCCACCTCTGGAACTGCCGACTGGAGCTAGTGCAGGGAGAAGGAACGAATTTTAGGACCTCGGGCTTGGTGTTCCCTGGGGGAACACAGAGCCAAGTCTCTAGGTCGGAAGAGAGCTGGTGTGGAAACCCTGGAATCTATCCTTACTTCTTAGAACAATCCCTGCAGCTGGATTTCCACATCTTGCCCCATCAGAACAGGTGAGCCCACCAGACCCCATCCTATTCTTGCATGTACCCTCACTGAGGGCTCACAGGATCCAGTCAGGAGACAGGCCTTAAGTAGAAGCCAGTAGGTTGTAGGACCCTGACGACTGTCAGGGACACCCAGGAAGTGTTTGAGGTATCAGCAGGTTCCTGCCACCCTCCTGGTTCCTCTGCTTGCTCCCGATCTGCCTCTGTCCCTTGGACTGTGAACTCTCAGAGCCCGGGGTGGGAAGGATGAGTGAAAGAACCCAGGATTTCCCACCTGCTCCCGGCAGCACACCTGCTGCCACAGCAAGAGCCCGGTGCCCGCATTCATCCCTTCGTGTTGCTCCGTACTTTTTATTCCAAGGAGGTCAGAGACCACCAGCTTGGAGTAAAATGGGCGCTGGGTGAGCTGGGATGTGAGCCATTGAGTGTCAGCTGCTAGAGGCTGTGGGGCGGGGGCCTGTGTGGCTAGACTAGGGAAGGGGCGGCCCCGCACTGCTGGGCATCTGGCTTGCCTCCAACAATGCCTCCATTATTTTCTAACGTCCATGGCAATGAAATGGCCCTTGGGGATCAGAGTTCAGGCGGGAGACTTGGCCTGGGACCCCTGCTGTAAGCCTGAGCAGTTCAGGAAGCTGAGGGGCATTTGATCTCTAGGGTCCTTAATGTTCTTTATTCTGCCCCTCTTGACATCGTCTCAGACCAGCCCTAGATATTCCTGGGTCACTCTTGACCCTGTGGTCTCCCTGTACCCCCTGCCGGTTATCACCTTGTACTTTCTTTCTCCGCAGTCACTCCTATGCTATTTCCTCCTAGCCATTCTTCTGAATTCTGTCTCTTTTCTCTTCTTCCCGCCTCGTATGGAGGAGGCCTCTAGGTTGCAATGACTCTTACCTCGAGCCCTGCTGAAGGTACAGAGGGCAGCAGCTCTGGGGGCACCAGGTCGCTCTCGGTCACAATCGAGTTCCGCTTCTAGCAGCATGGCAGTCACTAATCCAGAGGTTGGTGAAGGGTGTTCCCTGGAGTGCTGGATTTCAGGCCTTGGCCCACGCACTAGACCAGTGCTGTCCGCGGTGCTGAAGGAGGTATTAGCGCGCTGGGGCCCCTCTCCAACCTGCCCCGCCCCTCCTCTGTCCCCGCCCTTGGCCCCCTTCAGGCCTGGGCAGGCGGAGTCAAGCTGGCGTCACTCCAGGGCTGGGTTTGACCAGTCTATGATATGTGGTAGCCCTTTTCCAGGACCTTCCTTTACCTGCCACATAGTAGCTTAGCGGCTCCAACTTGTTCTGCTCTATGCCTTGGCTGGAGGTGCAGTGTTCGCAGTATACGGGTTTGGGAGCCTCAGGACTTTAAGCCTGGGACTTTGTCCTCCTCCTATGGAGTAGACTCTAGGTCCAAAGGCTGTCTGCTGCAAGCAAAGGTCAGAGGCCTCCAACTGCTGGTGGTGGATGACCTTCAGAACTTTCCATACTCAACCACCTGTATCCAGTACTCTGCAGGCAGATTTTAGACCCTCCTCTCCAATCTCCACCTCTAGAAAACGATCATGTGTGCAAAGCCACCTGCTTCTGCAAGACTCCTCACAGAAGTTGTGAGGGATCCCTGAGCAGAAGCTCCCAAATCCCTGCAGGGCAATCTCCTATCCACAAGCTGCCCCAGGATGACAGAGCAGGGACAAAGAGCAGATGGGAAACTTGGTGAGAGCCTCAGCAGCTCCTGAGTCGGTTGGTCCCTCCAGGCTCTGGCAGTGAGGAGCAATTCTGTAGGTTCAGAATCAGCGTGAGGGTGCACTTGCCCTGATCTCTATATTTTGTTAACAAGGATACAGGATCCTGCAACTCTCAGCCATAGTACATTCTCATTTTTCATTTTTTGCTTGGCCTCTGAGCTGTCTGTCCCAAAGCCTCTAGCTTTTTTACACAAGAAATTCTAGAATTTCAGAGCTGGGACTTCAAACTAGAAGGGAGCAAAGGGCTTAGAGCACTCCCTGAATTCAGCTTAACATAGCTCCTCAAATAAAAAAAAACAAAAAACAAAACTGTTAACAGCTTTATTAAATGTCAGGTTTCTTTATTCTTAAAATGTGCACAGTAGAGTTTACTTAAATACAAAAGGTACCCTTTCTTTGCAGGTAAGAAATTTCATTGACATTTTCATGCCAACTGCCTTTTTAATCAAAATCTTTGCAATAAAAATAAATAAACATTTAAATTACTGAACTATTATATCCGTTAATTGCAATACATCTCTTAATACTTCAGACTGAAGAAGAACAGACTGTACACCTGGTCTAAAGGTAGATCCCAGGGCTGAGCAAGGTCCTGGAGGAGGAATGCAAGGCTTCTCACTGCAGAATGGACAGTCCAAACAGGGATGTATGTGGCAAGTTTGTCCCCCAGAAGGGATGACCTGGGACTCTACAAGAGCAGCTTGAAGTAGGCTCTGCCCAGTGTGGGCTTCTTCAGACATCAGCATGTCAGGCGTGGTGTGGTACTGTGGCAGCTCTAGGGTCACAGTTACAGAAGTCCCCTTCAGCAATGTCCCCAGATGCAGTTTAACATGGCCTCAAAGTATTTCTCTTTGGAGCTGTGCTTACACAGGCCTGGTTTTAAAGCTGACAGACCAATGGTGTCTCAACAACCTAGACACACAGCTAGCAATACGGACAAGCTCATTTTTTTTTTCCATTTGTTTGTTTTTTTAAATGCACAGGATTCCAGGTTTCAAAGAAACCTCCTGCCACAGGGAAGTGAAGCAAGAGGTTCAAGTGGCTGGACCCAGGCTATGCCTGCCCCAACAGGGAGGCCTGGCTCTCAGAACTGATTCTCCCATGCGACGGAAGGGGGGTAACAACAGACCAAGGAGACAGCTGTCCATTTTTTTTTTAAGTGGCAGCAGGAACATTGATAATACGGGGTCTTAAATGATACCTATGTGATCAGCTGTCATTGGGAAGGACGCAAATATAAAATATAGATTATGCAAAGTGGAATGTGTATTTAACTAACCAAGTCATACCCTTGTGGGTTCAGAGGTACACATATTCATGAAACACACACACACACGCACACACTCATGCATTCACACACACAGAGAGCTAGCTTGCTTTATCCAAATAAAAAGAAACTCCTGAGCCATGACAGGTCTCAGCAGGAATGTCTCCATAAATGTAGTCTTAGTCTATGTTTTTAAAAAAGTCTTTAGGCACAAGTTTACCTTTCAGTGTTTTGGGATTTTACAAATAATGTATTTAAATGGTTTAATTTTAGTTGGTTTGTTTTTAAAGTCACCCTAAAGGCCAGGAAGCTTTGTATGCAGGGGCCATTGCATGTGCCCAACATCCTGTGCCCCCACCAGTGCCTTCTGCAGTGTACATGAGACATGACAGGGGCTCTAGAGGCTTCCCGGAGATGGAAACTCTCTCAACAGACCAATGCTCAACACTGTGCTTTGGGCAGAACCCCACCATGTAGGACCAGAATTATACTACAGCCTGATCAAGATGGCCCTCCTATCTACTGTCACCACCCTTGCCTTTCTGAGTTTCTAAGTGTCTCACTCCCAACCTTATTTCCTAAGAAAGAGAGAAGCTACAAAACAACCAGTGGCCTCTAGGACATAAATCCCACAGGGTGACCAGACCTCCCTGCTCAACCTCAGAGCACCCTGAGCTCCCATGAAAGCACCTGAGGCTTATGAAAGAACAGCTACACAGCTCACATCTGTGGCAGGGTGTGTGAAGTCTGGAGGCCTCTGTGCTTTGGCTGCTCATCCCTGGCCACTGTAGACGCGAGGCCTCATGAGAGAGCAACAACGTGGATGGCTATGTGCTGGACCTGCCTCCTTCTGGCCTACAAGGGCAAATACAAACAAGACTGACAT